TAGACGAAGATCTCTTGATGGTGGTGGGATGAAGGGCACCACACGCGGTGGCTTTGCTTGTATTAATTTGGTGGAAAAAAGGTAATTTTGATTAATCTGACGGCTGGGTTGATGGATGAAGATCTCTTGATGGTGGTGGGATGAAGGGCACCACACGCGGTGGCTTTGCTTGTATTAATTTGGTGGAAAAAAGGTAATTTTGATTAATCTGATGGATGGGTTGATGGATGAAGATCTCTTGGTGGTGGTGGGATGAAGGGCACCACACGCGGTGGCTTTGCTTGTATTAATTTGGTGGAAAAAAGGTAATTTTGATTAATCTGACGGATGGGTTGATGGATGAAGATCTCTTGATGATGGTGGGATGAAGGACAACACTCTCCTTGGATTAAATTGGTGGGGGAAAAAAAATGCAATTTTGGTTTATATGAAGGGGTGGGACCAAGTGATGGACATTTCTTCACGGTGGTGGCACCAAGGCCCAAAGGGACACAACCAAGGCCGAGCTAGGACACGAAAGATGACAAATATCACCCAAACCAAGACCCATGTTGTCACCTCCCGGGGACACTCACGTGGGTGAAGTCGGGTGCTCTCCAGGCCTTCGCCATCGCCACCACATCCCCCACCAATTTCCCGTCGGGCCCTCGGAGGTCGTTGGCCGCGTTCCCGTCGTAGTTACCGCAGATCCCGCAGAGATGCTTGCTCAGGTCCCGGGCCACCGTCACCGTCACCTCCCCGGTGGTGCTGAGGCCGGCGACGAATTCGGGTTTTTGGGTGATCCAGATGGTGCCGTGGGTCTCAGTGATGCTCAACGTGCTGGAGACCTCCACAGGGAGGGTGGCTGGGACCCCATTGACCTGGAGAAGACACCAATAGGGAGAGCATGGCTCCGTGCGATGCGACCTTGAAATAAATTCAAATTGGGGTGAAAAAGCCAGGCAATAGGCCATTTCTCCACCACCAACCTTCTCCATAGTGGTGGAACCCAAAATGGGGTGAAATCCCTCCATTTTAGGTATGGAGAGATGGCGTGAAGCGCCCGGGGGGGATACGTGGGATGGAGATGCGAGTGAGGGTTGATCTCGTGGGGTTCGCTCCTGCTTGGGGCCTGGGGTGGGAGGTGGGATGAGGACCTGGACAACCTGGGTTCCCTCCACGGGGCTGGGAGAGGGGTCTGGCGTGAAGGAGGGCACCCGTGGGTGCTTCCTTTACATTAAATTACCGAAAAAAAGGCAATTTTGGTCAATATAAAGGGCTGAGCGTGGACATCTCTCGATGATGGTGGGATGGCGGGATGGAGGGCAACACCCATGGGTGCCTCACTTGCATGAAACTGCTGGAAAAAAGGCTGTTTTGGTCAAAATGAAGGGATGGGCCAACGTGTGGGCATCTCATGATGATGGTGGGATGAAGGACAGCCCATGTAGGTGCTTCCCTTGCATGACACTGATGGACCTTGCAATATATTGGTGGAAAACCATGGATTTTGGTTACAATGAAGGGCAGGGGGACTTTTTGGGTGGCAGTGGGGTGGGGACGACCTACCCAGACCTTCTTGTCCCTCTTGACGGTGACAAAGGCCGGGGGGCTGAAGAGGTGAAGGGCCAGCACGGCCGGCCGGTCCTGGTTCTCCCCAACATCAGCCAAGAGCCGGAACCAGCCGGGACGGCGAGGGTCACACAAGGCGGTCATCACATAGATGCTGGTGGCCGTGGTGGTGCCGGTGGCACTGTCGAAGGAGACAAAGCGGGTGGCGGGGGCCAGGGTGCAGTGTCCCGGTTGCTCCATGCAGGCCCGGACACCATCCTTGAGGCCACACGCTTGGCCGAAGGGGCAGCTGGCCGGTAGGCACTGCATTCCACCCGCCGCCCGGCACGTGCAGCTCTCGCTGCAGTCGGCGGAGAGGACGGTCTCGGCGATCTGCAGGGTGGGACAGCCAAAAAAACCCGCCGCGTTCAACAGGTTTTCCCTTGCAAAGATTGCAGAAATGGGGAAAAAACACCGCACGCGACGGGTTTTCCCCTTGCAAAAGCTGCAGAAGGCAAAGAGACGCTGTGTGCAACCCCTGTCCTCCTTGCAGAGACTGCAAACGTGCAAAGAAATGCTGCGTGCAACCGATTTTCCCCTTGCAAGGACTGCAAAAGAAGAACACGGCTGCAGGCAAGTGGTTTCCCCTCGCAAAGGCTGCGAGAAGGAAAAAAGGCTGCGTGCAACTGGTGTCTTGCAGAGTTGCAAGAGACAGGCAGCGCTGCAACGCTCCCCTCGCCAGGCTGCAAGCACCCGTGAGGTGCGCGAGGGCGCAACGCTCCCCTCGCGAGGGTGCAAGCCTCCCCGGCCGCACCCACCTCAAAGTAGTGGCCGCGGTACAGGCACCCGCAGGAGTCCGTGGGGACGCACTCGTCCCCGTTGAAGAGGAAGCCCTCGTCGCACTGGCAGCCCTCGAAGCACTTGTTGGTGCACTGGATGCTGGCCGAGAGGCTGGCGCAGGTGTGGTCGCAGGTGCGGGTGCAGAGCTCGTAGTGGCTGTTGGGAGGGCAGGAGAGGGCTGGCGGGTGAAAAAACAAAGAAAAGCAGCGACTTCACTATTTGCTCTTTATTTTCTCCTTTTCCAAGGGGGGGAAAAAAAAAAAAAAGCACTTTGCAGAAGTGTAAGAGCAAATATTGCACAAAGGCGGATGCTGCACGCAAATCACTTCCCCCAGCAAAAAATCCCCCCCTGAACTCGCGCAGCTGGCTTTCCCCTTGCAAAAGAAATGCAAAGCAAAACCAAATTTTGCATGCAACCGCCTTCCCCCTTGCCAAGATTTGCAGATCTAAAGCACCGCTGCTTGCAACTCTTTCCCCCTTGCTGAAATTTCCCATCGCTGCACGCAGCTCCTTTCCCCTTGCAAAATAAAGCCACCGCTGCGTGCAACCGCTTGCCTTCTTGCACCCTTTGCAAAACTAAAGAGCAGCTGCATCCAACCGCTTCCCCCCCCCCCGCACGCAACCAGAAATGCAAACCCGCTGCATGCAACCGCTGCGCTCTTGCAGAAATGCAAGCCCATGGCGTGCAATAGCTTTCCCCTTGCAGAAATGCAAGCCCGCTGCATGCAACCGCTTTCGCCCTTGCAACCTTTGCAAAACCAGAGCAGCTGCATGCAACCGCTGCGCCCTTGCAGAAGTGCAAACCCACTGCATGCAGCTCCTTCCTCCTTGCAGAAATGCAATCCTGCTGCATGCAACCGCTTCCCTTCTTGCGGCCTTTGCAAAACTAAAAAGCAGATGCATGCAGCCGCTTCCCCTTGCGGAAACGCAAACCTGCTGCATGCAGCCGCTTCCCTTCTCGCAACCTTTGCAAATCAAGAGCAGCTGCAGGCAACCGCTCCCTCCCTTGCAGAAACGCAAACCCACAGCATGCACCCCCACCCCGGTCGGCTGGTGACTCACGGCACTTGGCAGCTGCCCGCCACTCCTGGAGCTGCCCGCCGGCGGCCTGGCAGGCAGTGGTGTAGGCCTGCAAGCTGCGACACAACGCTCCGGCGCCCACCTGGCTGCACTGCTCCTGCATGCACGCAGCCACGTACTCCTGGGGTGCCACCACCCTGTGGCACCCGGCGAGGGGTCCCGTCGCCTCCGTCAGCACCCCGCAGGGCCCCGGGGTGGCCGAGGGGCAGGTGGGGGGTGGGGACCCATGGGTGCAGGTGGTTGTGAGGGTGCCCCAAGCGGCCCCCAGCTCCTGGGGGGTGGTGGGGTCATTGTTGGCGTCCCCGTCGAAGTTGCCGCAGAGACCCTTGGTGTGGTGGCGGTAGGTGCTGGGGAGGGTGAGCAGCACGTAGGCGTTGCCGTTGTAGAGGAGTTTGGGGCCGCCCTGCACCTGCAGCACCTGGTGGGTGCCCTCCTGGGACACCGTCACGGCCCCCCCGGCCAGCGTCAGCGGCAGGAGGTGCTGCTCGCCATCCACCTGCGGGGAAAAAGAGGGGTGAGCGGGGTGTGTGTGTGTGTGTGTGTGCACCCCAAAGCAGGGATTGCACCCCAAAGCAGAGTTTGCACATCCTGCTGGGCACCCCAATGTCAGGTCTGCACCCCAAAGTGGGGCTTGCACAGCCTGCTTTGCACCCCAAAGTCAGGTTTGCACCCTGAAACGGGGCTCGCGCATCCTGCTGCGTAGCCCAAAGCTGGGTCTGCACATCCTGCTGTGCACCCCAACGTCAGGTTTGCACCCCAAAGCAGAGCTTGCACCCCAGAGCAGGGTTTGTATGTTCTGCTGTGCACCCCAACATCAGGTTAGCACCCCAAAGTGGGGCTTGCACTGCCTGCTCTGCACCCCAAAGCAGGGTTTGCAAGCTAAAGGGGAGTTTGCCCGCTGGGCTTTGCACCCTGAAGCAGGGTTTGCATGTCCTGCTGTGCACCCCAAAGCAGGGTTTGCACCCCAAAGCAGGATTTCTGGGCACCCCGAAGTGGGGTGTGGCACCCCAAAGCAGGGCTTGCACATCTTGCTGTGCACCCCAACATCAGGTTTGCACCCCAAAGTGGGACCTGCACTGCCAGCTTTGCATGCCAGAGCAGGGTTTGCACCCCAGAGTCGGGTTTGCACATCCGGTTGTGGACCCCAAAATGGCATTTGCAAGCTAAAGAGAAGTTTGCACGCTGGGCTTTGCACCCCAAAGTGGTTATTGCACCCGAAAGCTGCCCCACTCACCGTCACCTCCCACCGGATGCCCCTGGCCATGCCGACAGTGACTCCGTGCACGGTGACCAGCAGCTGGCGGATGAACGGTCCCTCCTTGCCGCTATCCTTCACTACCTTCACCGTGAAGGGCACCAGCGGGTCCTTGGGGCCGGCAGCCTCAGCTGCCGCCAGCATGTAGGTGCAGGTGCCGGCGAAATGCAGCAGGTGCCCGTCAAAGGTGCTGTAGGAAACCGCACCCAGCACCTCGCAGCGCCCGCACTCGTGGGGGTAGCAGCCTCGCACCCCGTCCTGCACTGTGCACACCTCGCCCGCCGCGCAACCCTCCGGCTTGCACTCCACCACCCCGGCTGCTTTGCAAGTGCAACGCTCGCTGCAATGAGGGCAGATGAAAAACTTCTCGCCCAGCTTGTAGTAGCGACCCTCGTGCAAGCAGCCACACTGGGCCAGGGGGACGCAGCGGTCGCCGCTCAGCAAGAAGCCCTCGTTGCAGAAGCAGCCTTCGGTGCAGAGTGCGGCTTCCTCACATTCCTCCACTTCTGCTTGGCCCCGGCACGTGGCCGGGCAGGCTGGGCCGCAGAGCTCGTAGTGCTGGTTCGGGGGGCAGACGGGGCCTGCGGGGGCGGAAATCAGCAGGGGTGGTGTTTGCAGAGCTCCAAAAACCTTTGTGCATGGAAGCCTTAAATCTCCCGTGCAAACCAGAAACCTTCCGTGCACGCAAGCCCCAAACCCTCTGTGCAAACCAGAGAGCCGTCATGCATGCAAGCCCTAACCCCCCCCCATGCAAACCAGAAAGCTTCCGTGCATGCAAGCCCCAAACAGTTCGTGCATGCAATCCCCAAACCCTCTGTGCTTGCAAGCCCAACCACCTTCATGCACGCGAGCCCCGAACCCTTCATGCAACCCAGAAAGCCTTTGTGTGTAAGCCCCGAACAATTCGTGCGTGCAAGCTCCAAAATCTTTGTGCAAACTAGAAAGCCTTCGTGCGCGCAAGCCCTAAGCCCTTCGTGCGCACAAGCCCCAAGCCCTTCGTGCAAGAAGGAAAAAAAAAAAAGCATTGTGCATGCAAACCCAACCGCTTTTGTGCATGCAACCCCCAGGAGATCCCCCTGCCCCGAGCCCCACGTACTGCAGAAGGCGGCGGTGCGCCGCTCCCTGGTGCGGATGCCCTGCCTCTGGCAGGCGGTGACATAGGCGCTGATGGAGTGGCAGACCATTTCCTGGTGCCCCTTGTAGAGGCAGGTGTCGAAGAGGCAATCTTCAAAGTAGGGGGCTGGGTCGATGGCGCTGAGGCAGGCGCTGAAGGGTCCCTGCTTCTTCACCAGGAGCCCGCAGTGCTTGTCGCCCCGGTAGGCACGTTTCTCTGCTTCGGTGCAGACTTCGCAATCCTCGGTGCAACCAGCCCAGCAACCGGGGATGTCGGCCACCTTCCAGGAGTCAGCAAATTGGATTTCGTCGGTAGCCGGCTGCCCGTTAGGCAAAACGAAGTCGTCCTGGGGGTTGCCATTGGCGTCGCCGCAGAGGCCGCAGACGGCGCCCGAGTAGGTGTTGGGGAGGATGACCATGGCATGGCTGTACCAGTCGAAGGTGACGATGACCTCAAAGTCGGTCTTGATGAAGCCATGGACGCCACTGAGGTAGACCTGGAGCTTGTCGCCGTGGTTGAAGGGCAGATCCACCAGGATCCCGTTGACCTGGAAGGGTAACGTAGGTCGCATGATGCCACGCAATGACTTGGAAGCCCACCAAGATGCCACGCAGCAAGCTTGCAGCTCAGCCGTATGCCATACAACCTTGAAATCCACCCAGATGCCAAGCAATGACCTTGCAAACCAAGCAGGCATCATGCAATGAGCTTGCAGCCCACCTAAACGCCACACAACAAGCTCACGACGCACCCGAACTCCATGCGATGAGTCTGCAGCCCACCCAAATGCTACGCAACAACTGTACGGCCCATCCAGACACCATGCAACAACCTTGCAACCCACCCAAATGCCTTGCAATGAGTTTGCAACCCAGCAGGACACCATGCAATGACCTTGCAACCCAACTAAACACCATACAAGGACCTCGCAGCCCACCCAGATGCCATGCCATGACCTTGCAACTCAACCGGCACCTCATT